GGCTCAACATCTTACATCAAATCCAGATGAAAAACAGTGCACTAGGTGCAGGGTGGTGGAAATTGTGTTCAGAGGCTTGTGTTCAAGGATGGATGACAAAGGATTATACCGTAAATTGCTGCCTTCTCTTTCCTTAAAAAAAAAAAAAAAAAAAACCCTGAGCTGCAAAGCTGCCCTGGATATTTTGGACTTTTCTATCATGCACTCAACATTCCTAATCACAAATTATTTACCAATTCTTTACACGATTGTGACCCTCCAGTTTTTGTTCTATTTAGATAGCACTTTCAGCAAGTAGTTTTAGAGCAGGAAAAATGTTGTGTTTACTTGAAAAGCACTGCTTTTTGTATACATGTTTCATTCTGTTCCAGTTTAGTGCCACATAAAATATTCCAACACAGAACTATTAATCAGCTGTTAATCCACCTTATGTATTTGCTGTTTCATCACTAAATAGAATTCTGAGCACAATATGAAGAGTATTTCCTTTTCTGCTTTTCTGCAAATAACATCTGGGAGGCTCTGTTCTATAGCAAAATAGCATAAATACAGAAGTGAAAAAAGCATTTACTTTTGCTTTAACGATTAAGTAGCACATTTTTTTTTGTTTGCTCTGAAAAAGACTTCCCAGAAATGCTGTCTGAAAACAGAAGTGATACTGGAGAATCAAAACATCTAAATAACCACAAACAACTATGCGTAGACAAGTGAAGTATAAATGCCTCATGAGTCCTGCATTAAGCAGGGGGTTGAACATAACTTGATGGCCTTATAGGCCCCTGTCAGCTCTACTATTCCCTGATTCTATGAAAGGTCCTAGAATTATGTAGTAGAAAGCAGGAAAGGAAACACTCTTGGTACTGCTCAGATCTTAATTCTGGAACAAAACTGGATAGATAGAGCAGTTTAACAGCAGATTAATAGCCTTGCATAGAAAAGACACCTTTCCTCAAAGAAATTGACATGGGGCAGTGCTTTTTTTGTAAAAAAAAAAAAAAAAAAGTGCGGGAACTCATGTCCCCCGCAGGCAGTAAGCACACACACCAATCCCAAGCCCAAGCCACTATCTCTCACGATCAGAGAGCAGATAGCAGACACAGTAGCAGCCTGAGGCGCTATGTTAATGATGTTTGCTGCTGATCTGCTACTCCGTTCAAAATCACTTTGTAAAATCCATTGGAAAAAAGGTGATGGAACGCCGTTCCGGTGCGTTCTATGACAAAAAAAAAAAAAAAGCCCTGGGGAAGGGTATTTCCAGATGAGGCTTTTATTGTGCAGCCTCCCTATTGTGTTCACGGATTTTTACTAGTGATCTAAATGGCATTAACTTCATTTGTGTAAAACCCCAGTGTTTTCTTTGTGAGGGCTTATCCCATTAAAATACATTAAATACATTTAATACGTTTAAAATACATTTAAACGTCATTTTAATTGTTAATATTATTTGCTTATTTTATCTGGCCAGGGCGACTTATTTTATATTGTTAATTTGTTTTATGTATTATATTTTATGTTGTGAGCCGCCCCAAGGCTTCGGCGAATGGGGTGGCATAGAAATGTTTTAATAAATAAATAAATAAATAAATAAATATAGAATAGCTATGCAATCTCTTTTGGCTGCTAGCACTAGCAACCTCTCTCTAGAAGGACCTGAATGGACACAAAACAACACTTTGTTCATGAAGGTATGTAATATGAGATTGTTCAGGTAGAAAAAATATTTCATGCAGAGCCAAACAGGGGAAAATATCTGCATTAACTCTAAAAATTAAAGCTGTGAAGTGGGAGAGGAGGAAGCTTTCAATATGACAACTAGCAGCAATCAGCCCATGAAAACAGCAGGAGACAAAATGGCTGCTTCCTCTGTTACCCGGCTGCCTTCTGCTATATGACCATCATCACACACCTATTTCCATGCAAGACCAATAAGTGCTGGTCTGGCTGTGGCCCCAGCCATAAGCAACACTGAGCAAGCAAGGTTGTTTTTGAATACTATTTAGATGCTCAATTGCCGTCTTTGGAATTGGCCTAACTAAGGATAGTTTTATATTATGAATTAAAGAAAACTTTGCCTTCCTTCCTGCACCCTCCAAATGTCATGGATGGAGTCTCAGGTTATGCAAATGAGTCACCAGCCAGCTAAGGAGGAAGTTACAATGTAATCAGTTTGAATCCACATAATGTATCAACTTGCTAACTGCTGGTATGTGGTGAGGAGCTCTTGTCAGCACCTTCCAGTTACTGTTACAACTGTTACAACTGTAATCTTGCTGGAGCTTTATAAATAGCCTTCAGCTGCTTCTACATGTGTCTCCGAAAATAAGATAAGACCAGGTCTAATTTTTGCTCCAAAAGGTGCACTAGGGTTTATTTTCAGGTGATGTCTTATTTTTTTCTTACAAAAGCCATAATATACTTGCCCCAAGAGTCCTCCACAATTCCTTTCTTGTACTCGACAGTATAGCTCTTTCGTTTTGCAGTCATCTTGCATTTTGCATTCATGCATTAAGTGCGTCTGTTGCAATACACGATGTATTGATGTTATTCTTGTGTTGTGTCTGTATGTGAGGTTCTGGGGCAGCACCAGGACTCCCTCTTCTGGCCAGAGACCAGAATAGCAGCGCTGGTGGTGGCAGGACCAGGTCCACAGTCAATCACGGCCACCTGGGCTGCTATTCTGGTCTCTGGCCAGAAGAGGGAGCCCTAGTGCTGCCTCACACTGTACTCTGATTGGTCATTCAGCAAGAAGTCTCATGTTCATCAGTTTATTTATTTAAAACTTTTAAATGCCGTCACCACATGCCTTGGCATCTCAGGATGGCTCACAACACATACAATGTACAAGTTTACATGGGTGTTTACCTCTCATCCTAAGATGCCCGCTTCGGTATTTACAAATACTTAATTATAATGTATATTAACATTTATTTTAAGTATTAATGTCAATTATATTATTTATTTATATTTAATTTTATATTAACATTGTTATTTTGTAGTTCATCCATTGTGTGTTGCAACGGATGTACTACCGTGTTTCCCCATTTGTCTGTCTGACGTTCTTAAGTAGGGCTTATTTTGGGCGTAGGGCTTATTTTGGGCGTAGGGCTTATATTACAAGCATCCTGAAAAATCATGCTAGGGCTTATTTTCTGGTTAGGTCTTATTTTGGGGGAAACACGGTATGCTTGCTCTCTAAATACTAAATTAGTTTACTCTTTCTCTTTATGGAATTTCTTACTTCAGATGTAAAAACAAATATTGAAAGTTGTTAAATTCTGAAACTTTTGACTGTTTCATTTTTAATCTGTTGCTCAAGCACCTGAGGTGTCATAATATGTTTCCTGATGTTTTCCTGATGATTTATTGATGTTTCTGTATTGTCCTTGTGTGCTTCTATAGTGTTCCTGTAAATCATCCAAATTCTCATTTCGCTCCCTGCAATGCTTATGTGACACCAACTCCATGAAACACTCTGTGCATGCTCTTTTCCTTTGGTCTTAAACTGGCTCCCCTTCAGAGCTGTAGTATTTAGGACTGTTTGCTGTGAATAAATGGTTGAGTGCTTGACTGTGTGCTTCGTTTGGATCCAGGCATTCATTCCTTGCATTGACACTGCCCATTGTGCTTCTTGTGCAAAGACTAATCTCTGCAGCCTACCATGTAAATGGCAGGGTGGTATTTCTGGCTGATCAGGTAACATTTCTGATGTAGGTTTGGGGAGACAGTTGGGACAGGGGGTCACTGAAGTGATTTTTATCTCTAACGTGCCATTTATGTTACTGAGAAGAGCAGCCTGATTTGCATGAGAAAGAGCGGTTAACACGCCATGGTCAATACGCCCTGTGGTAGGAGGTTTATGCCACTTTACGTATGTGAGGGTGGCTGGCTGCTCTGTTCTAACCCATGGTCTGTTCTAACCCATGGTCTGTTCTAACCCATGGTCTCTAGAACCTGGCCTGCACCATCACCGATTAGCCACAGCGGGCTGCAGTGCCTGCAGGTATCCGTTTGATTAGCAGTGCTTCAGCTGTGACAACTTCTCATTATATGCAAACGCACTCAGATTCTCATTATGTGACAAACAGTCTAGAACCCAGGCACTCTTTTGAACCCCATAAGAAGCAGCTATGGTATACCCCATTATGTCCCAAGTAACTCAAATCAGTGGCAATCACTGCGACATTTTCCCCATGGGAAAGTACACCCATGATGCCTTCTCATTACGTGTGAACTGAGCCAATGTCTTTGGATTGGTATTGCTAGGAGATGTTTATCTGAAAGCACGTGATGGAGTACACTGAATACAAACTGTTGCATCAGTTCCCTTGATGTCCCTCATAGAATACTGGGGATAATAGTTTAGTGATAATGCTGAGAATTATCTGACAGAGATTCCACAGTGTCTCATTGAATAAGTCCCAAGATTCCACAAGAAAGAGAATTACTTTTAAAACCAATTTAACCATAAAATATTGTGCACAAATTTACCCTGAATCTAACCAACTTTTGTTCTAAGGGCCACAGCTGAATATAGCTATAATATAGGCATGAAGATATCCTCCCAACCTGGTGCTCTCCAAATGTGCTGGACTTCAACTCCCATCACTCTCAGCCAGTCTTCTATTTATAATTCTGTGTCTTCCCACAGTTTCTTTGACTTTTTTTTTCTTTTGATAGAAAATACATTAGGGAGAGAAAGATAGAATAACTGCACCATACTTTTAATTGGCAGCTCAAGGAGTTACCCATCTGGAAGCAACTAAAGGCTAAGATGACTTTGCACTTGAATGTTGGCATTGCAGTATATGCCAGTGATGCACCCATGGAAAATGCCCCATTACCCCAGTCTGGTTTCACAGCTTCTCTCCCTCTCCTTAATTTTCCTTCTGTCTTTTTGGTATCAGCTCCCTTTTGGTGCATAGCAATAGCCTCTGTATCAGCATCTACATTGCAGGGAAAAGAAGGGAAACCCAGAGAGAGCTTCCATTGAGCAGACTCACCAGGTGGCAGGACAGCTAGAGCTATGAGGCACAGCAGCATCTGAGCTCCGCAGGCCATCATCCCTGCAAAGTGAGAAAGAAAGAGAGAAAATAAATGGGAGCTACTTGCAAATCTCTTACACATTTTCCTCTTCCACGGATGCACAGCAACAGTTGCATCCGTTTTGCGCTCCTCATTTTCTGTGACCACCAGCTTTGCTTTTTCCACTGCTCCATCGGAAACTTAAATATTTCAAACTGAACATAACACTCTCTTTCCTTCCTTTTTTTCCCTCCTGCTATCCATCAAAGGATCTGTCTTCCACGTGCTTACCCACTAGCTTTGTTGATTGATCTCCTATTAAAAGATCTTTTGAAATGTCACCTTCTAACAATTACTTTTAGAGACACAACTTACTTCACTCCCTGTTAACCATGCACTCTGTTTCTTTCCACAGCAGGAACTGTCTTGTTCCCCTTCAACTGGTCCCCGAACTTGGCCAGAATGCATAGCCACTCCCAATCCTGGCAAATGTTCTTCCTTGGCTTTCCTGCAAAATTGAACTAAAGAAAGAAGTAGTAGAACTTGGAGTCATCATGCAAATGGAATGAGGAGAAGTGGGAGAAACAGTCCCATTACTTCATTCCAAAGTTTATAGTAACTCAAGAGTAACCAGCTCCTCCTATTCCCTCTGGATGGAGAATGGCCATGGGTGGATTGTCTGTCCTGGATGTGCATCTTGTTTCTCTCGACCCTTAAGAGGATGAAGTAGTACTTGTTTTTTCATATAAAAACAAGATCCCCTTAAAATCTTGAAAAAATCCAATAAACTAGAGCTGGCCTTAAAGCAGCTTGTCTTGGGCAGTGGATGGGGGTGGTGTAAGGGAGCGCTATCAAAGGAGAGCATGGTGTGTGATGAAATGGTTACTTCAGATTGCAGAGTTTGGACATTATTAGGTTTGTCAGTTTTAGTGCCTGCATGTTGTCTGAGCTGGGAGCCCTGGGTAGCATATATACATGGAAGAGAGACCTGAAAAAGCCTAATGGTTGCGCTCATGATCTGAAATGGAGTCTGAAGGTGTCTGGGATGAATGCTGCAGAAAATGCTCTGTTCATTGCGTGGGCTAGCCATTAAAATCTTAAATGTCCAGCCTTCTCGTACCTGAACCTACTGAGAAACTGTGCCCTTCTTCTGAAGCTCTTCTTGCTGTCCCACCATTACTAAAAGAGGCAAGACTTTTCAATCACAGCACCCAGATGATGTTATGGCTTTCATGGGCAAGTGTGTCTGATCCTCCTGTTGCTAGCATTAAAGAGGGAGCTTAAAACTATTCTCATGGTCATTCTTCAGTTAATGGATATGCTTTTTTGGGCATTTCTACAGTCCTTAGATTTTGGAGCTGTTTCCTTTCCATCTATGCTATCTTCATTGTTGATATTCCAATTCTTTATTACTGCATTGCTTTCATGTGTTGTTATACCTTGCATTTGCTTTGCATAAAAAGGCAGAAAACAAGTCAGCAAGCAATATGATCCACATACAGTTTCAGGTCACTGCAAGTCAACTGCTAAACACAATCCAGTTTTCAAATGGACCACGGCCAGAAAGCAGAATGTTTCTTACATTCAGAGCAGATCACTAAAGCAAGTGAGCCAAACCACGGACTACGTGTCTGAGCCAGAAGCAAGGGCTTCCTGATTCAAATTGGAACTTCTGTGCTACATGAGCTTTCTTGTGTTTACCTCTTTGACTGGGTAGGCAGGCCGACAGGTTGACAGCACATTACAAAGTGAGTCTGGTCTAGTAGCAGTAGCTGTTCTTTCCTCCATCCTGCTGTATTTGCCTTCTGCTGTATTACTGCTATGTCACTGTCATTCACACACCTGTTTCCGTGCAAGACTGATAAGTCCTGGTCTAGCTGTGGCCCCAGCCATAAGCAACTCTGAGCAAGCAAGTTTTTTTCTGAATACCATTTAGATGCTCAATTGCTGTGCCTTCTGCTTCTTTTACAAAGACTAATCTCTTCGGCATACATAGATTCATAGAATGGTAGGGTTGGAAGGGGCCAAGAAAGGCGTTGGGTTCAACCCCCTGCTGGTGCAGAACGTCAAGTCACACCATCTCACTCGTTTTTGCCTCGATGTCTCTAGCATGGGAATGCCCACGGCCTGTCCTGGCAACCGTACCACTGTTGTTACTGATAAGTTGTTGCTTTAGGTTTGTATAGGAGACGCAAGCATCATCTTCTAGAATAGACTGGTAGATTTGGGGTATGGGTTTAATTACCCTTTCCCTGACTGCTACATGCACAGACACACAGAAACACACACGCAAAGCTGTAGCACTCTCTTGGTTTTCAGCAATGGGTGGAGGACTAGATATGCATAGAAAGATATATAAATGTATATCCAACATAAAGAGACAAAGTAGTGTTCAGATTGTCTACAAACACGCCTGTTGAATGAAGAGTTCTGCCAGGCTTCGATTAATAGTGGGTAGAAATAATTGAGATCCTCAGGAAATTTCTCTAATCATTCCTTCCTGCTAAGCCACACTCTTAGAAACACAGAAACAAAGTGAGTCAGAAGGGGCCTCCTGGGCCATCTAGTCTGACCAGCCAGCTCCGCTCAGGTAATCCCCAAGGTGGTTGTCCAATCTTTCCTTGAATGCCCTCACTGATGGAACCTTGACCACCTCCCTTGGAAGCCCATTCCATATCCTAGGGGTCCTGACTGTCAGGAAGTACTTCCTAACAGCCAACCTAAAGCCTGGTTCCTTGAGCTTTGCTCCTTGGAACACATCCTACTCTCCATTGCAGGGAAGAACAGGTCAGGGCCCTCCTCCACATGACATCCCCTCACATGCTATAAGGTGCTAAAAGATCCCCTCAGAGGCTCCTCTTCTCCAGGCTGAAAAGACCCAGTTCCCTCAATCTCTCTTCCTATGTTATCCCTCCCAACCCAGCTACCATTCTTGTGACCCTGCACTGAACTGATTGTAACCTATGTCTCTCCTATAATTTGGAGCCCAGAACTGGATGCAGTACTCCAGTTGTGGGTGCACCAGAGTTGTGTACAGCAGTATCAACACCTCCCTAGATATGGAAGCCATGCTTCTGGCTATACATCCAAGAGTGTTGTTTGCCCTCTTAACTGCTGTGTCACACTGCTGGCTCATGTTCAGCCTGCTGTCAACAAATACCCCGAGATCCCTTTCACAAGTGCTGCTCTCCAGCCACTTGTCCCCCATCCTGTACCTGTGACACCTATTCCTGTGTCCCAAGGGCAAGACCTTGCACTTCTCCACATTGAACGCCATCCTGTTGTCCCTGGCTCATGTCCACAGCCTATCCAGATGCTTTTGGATCTGGATCACCTGCTCCTTAGGCCACTGCCTTCACTTGGGTACTGCCCATGAATTTAGTCAGCAGACTGGTTATCCCCTCCTCCAGGTACTTGAAAAAAAAGTTTGAACAGAATCAGTCCCAGAACTGAGCCCTGGGGGACTCCACTCACCACCAGCTGCCATCCTGGTGATCCCCCACTGAGAGTCCCCCTCTGTAGATACTACAGATACAGATGTAATAGAAGGCATCGATGTACAGAAGGTACAAGAGAGGGGTCAAAACACTTCATATTCTCCTAAGTAGTCATAAATGTGTTGGTATAGTTGGCATACTGTTTCTCAATCAATGTTGTATTACAGTGTGTTACATGATGCAAGTACCACATGATGTAAGCCGCCCCGAGGCTTCGGCGAATGTTTTAATAAATGTTTTAATAAATAAATAAATAAATAAATAAAGCTCTGCTACAAAGCCATACTGACAACTATGGCAGTATGAATCCTATAAAGATACAAGGTATCTGAAAATCTGAAGTGGCTATGAATAAAAGCATTGTGCCTCCACAGTGGCTTTGAACTCTGGAAATTGCCTTTAGATAAAAATACAGAAGATAGATTACTGACTCTGCCTCGCAAATTCAACATACGCCAAGTTTTAGAACTGTGGCATTGGATTTCCAGGCATAATTCTAAGTGGCATTCTTATTTGAAACCCCAAATTCTGGACCTGAGTACCTCAAAGCCTACCAGTTTCACCAGCAATTACATATAGTGGAGGCCCTCCTCTGGGTTCCTCTATCACTGGTGAACCATATGGTGACTGGACATATGGCCTTTGCAGTTTTGAAAGTCTCTTCCCTGGAAAGTTTGCCTTGTACTCTTTGTGATTTCTTGGTACCAGGTGAAACCCTTTTCCCAAGTCTTTTGGATGAGATTTTAATTCTGCTTTTATTTGTAAGGCGTTTATTTTTTAAAAGGATTTTTACTGTCTTTATTGCTCTCTTCAATCCTTATTGTAAGGTTACTTAAGAATCTCTGTATTGGATCTCTCTGTATTTGGCTAGAATCTGAATGGAACAGCAAGTGCTTCAAATAAATATATGGGCAAGCATTTCTGATGTGTTGAAGTCCATATTTGTGAGGAATGTTCTATGCAAGAAATAATCACCAGAGACCTGGACCAGGACTGGACCTGAAGCATTCCAGTCCCCAGTCAGCTGTGAAGCTCATTGAGTGACTTTGGGCCTGTCACACAAGGTTGTTCTTGTTGGGAATATAAAATGGAGAGGTGGAGCATCATCCAAACCTCTTGGGTTCTTCGCAAGGGGAAGAAAGGCAGAATATAAATGTAGTAATAATAATAATTCCTCAGTACATAATACTAATTCCTAAATCCTGGTATTTCAAAAGTTACTACAATATACCTAACAAAAGATATTGTGAAGTTAAAGAAAGTACAAAAGAGGACAACTAAAATGATCAAAGGGCTGGAGCAACACCTCTATGAGAAAAAGTTACCATTTCTGGAATTCTTTAGCTAAAAAAGAGGGTAATAAGGAAAGCCATGAGAGAGGCAGACAAAATTATGCATGGTGTGGAAAAATGAATAGTTAGAACCCCATCTTTCATGATAGTAGAAGCTGATTGGCAAGAGTTTCAGGACATATAAAACCAACGTTACACAGCACACAAATTATGGAACTTTAATGGTTTCAGAAAAATGATAAGCAAAGTGCAATATACCTTTAAGAAGAAGGATGTTCAAGAGGGGTGGGAAATCTTGAAAAAGAAGATACTTGAAGGACAATTATGAACAATTCCATCAAGAAAAGAGTGTAGAAGACAGCAGAGGAAGCCCATGTGGCTCCACAAAAGGTTAAGTGACACCCTGAAAGAGAAGAAGAACATGTACAGGAAGTGGAAACAGGGCCAGACCATGAAAGAAGAATACAGTGGTACCTTGGCTCATAAACTTAATCTGTTCCACAACTCTGACTGTGACCCAAATTGGTCATGAGCCAAGTCAAATTTCCCACATAAGGTTCAGTAAATGAGGTTAACCCGTTCTGTAACTATTTTTTTTTTACTCACAAAAATTTGAAGCAAAGTGACAAAGAGCAACAAAGATCAT